AATATTGTTTACAAGGCCTCGAATAACGGCGGAAGGACATAATATATATATTATATTGTAGCAATATGGTTCTTTAGCGCGGATTTTTTATTTGGATAGCTAACTGATGTTTCTATATTGTTAAGTAATCAGTGTTTAATGGTTTTTATAAATCTGTATGAACACTGATGCTGATTTTATTTACATTTTAGATTTTCAGCTAAAAACTACAATCATAGATATATAATGATTTACATACGGCCAATTAGAAGTTTACGCTCATAGCGTTTGATTGGATAACCGTCAGTCGGTCAATAAACTGTTATTAGAGTTATTAGAGCTACATATTATTTTACATCAAATAATTAATTATTATATTGAACATACAAGAATGTCGAACATGTGCAACATCGGTGCCTCAGGTGAGCGAGGCGCCCGACGCGCTGGACGACAGCGCGGCGGGCGGCGCGCCCTACGCCGCGCTGTCGGCGTGCGCGGCGCTGCGGGCGGCCGGCCTGCCTCCGCGCCCCACGCCGCGCGCAGCCGCCGCGCCGCGCGTGCTGCTGCTGGGCCTGGGCGGCGTCGGGCACGCCGCCTTGCAGCTGCTGGTGTACTCGGGCGCGCGGGTGAGGGCACGGGCGAGCACTGCGCGGCGCCATGTCTCTGGCGGCGGGCCAGCACTGAGCGGCGACGGCGTGTTGCAGGTGACGGTGGGGTGCGCGGGCGAGATGTGTGCGCGCGCGCTGGCGCTGGGCGCGGCGGCGGCGCTGGACCGGCACGCCGCCGACTACGACCGCCAACTGGAGGAGTTTGGCCCGTAAGTTGGCCTCGATGTTGGAATATTCCCATGCTGCTAATAATCATTCTATGGCTGTGTAGCGTCCGGCGTATGGTGGGATCTAAAGGGTATAAGAATTTATCCAATAAATGTATGTCAACATGTTTGTATATCATCAATTTAAACATTGACTGCCGAATTATCCTAAAATTATTGTTGGATATTGTTTAAGTTAGTTAAAACTTTTTAGACTTCCCGTCCTTCCACTTTGCCTCTTTCACTTTCTTTCCGTATTCTCGGAATGTCACAGTTCCAAATTCGAAGTATTAAACATGTGTCAATTAAAAAGAAAGTATGGATGGTTTGTACGAAAAATTATGCCTAAGAAGATAGTACATTCTCGGTATAAACGAGGGCATCCTGATGAGGTGCTTTTTTTCCTCCACTATCACAAAATAAGTCCAGTTGTTAGCTGGCGGCGCGCACAATGTCGCGGTGCGCGGTGCGATGGTATGCGATGGTGTGCGATGCGAAGGTACGACGCCATCCTGGACTGCGCCGGGCTGGGCGGCGCGGCGGCCGGCGCGCGCGCCTGGCGCTTCGCCCGCTACGTGACGCTCAGCCCGCCGCTGCTGCGCGAGACGGACCGCCGCGGGCTGGTGGCCGGCGCGGCCGCCGCCGCGCTGCGCCTCGCCGCGCACTCGGCCGCCGCCGCGCGCGCCGCGCCCCCCGCGCCCGCCGCGCCCACCGCGCCCACCGCGCCCACCGCGCCCGCCGCGCTGTGCCCGCCGCACGTGCGCTGGGCGTTCTTCGCGCCCTCCGCGCACGACCTGCAGCTGCTGCGCCGACTGGCGGACGCCGGCAAGGTATTGTTACTTATATCTATACTATTATAATAAAGCGTAAACACACACTTCTCTGTTGCCTAAGATGTCAGCAATTACAGCATATTTTTTAATTATTATTTTTTTCATAAAAATTCCTACACTTACGTCACCCTTTAAGCTATATATTTTCACGCCATTAAACTTATGGGGTAAATATTTTGGGTAAAAACCCTAATGTAATATTGTTTTATTCGTTTTATTCGTTTTATTACAGTATTGGTTATTCGAAATTTATATTCCGAGTGACTCGAGTCAATAAAAATCACTCGAGTGACATTCGAGTAAATAAGTTACCAATACCGAGTGACTCGAGTGAAAAAAAGAGTACTCTTCAAAATGTACGCGGAATTGCCTCCACTTGTCGCCTGTGTTCTGTGTGGTCGCGGCATTGGGGCGAGCCCTACAGTGCGAACATGTTCAAGCGCACACACACACGGTACTGGCTACTGGCGTGTTGCAGTTCTCGGTGGCGGTGGAGCGCGTGTTTCCGTGGTGGGAGGGGCGGGCGGCGTACGCGCGCGCGGCGGCGGGCGGCGCGCGCGGCAAGCTGCTGCTGCACATGGCCGCCGCCGCACCCGCCGCACCCGCCGCACCCGCCGCACCCGCCGCACCCCCTGCACACCACACATCTTAGATTATGTAATACTTGCATTTTTTAAAATAAAGTTATAAAACATATGTAAATATTTTATTACCTAAATACTCGCACTATAGTCATATTTGGGAGAAGCACCTTCCCCTCAAAGTCCCGTCAATTAACCATAATTAACTAGAATAGAAAAATACCAATTTTTCTATTCTAGTGTTTTAAACTAGGGTTTTTTACATTTTTCGGTAACATGTGTATATATACATATGAACCTATCGTTGAATATTGTTAAGTATATTTTTTTATTTATTCTTATTATTAGCTATCGCTCGCGACTTCGTCCTTGTGAAATTAAAAAAGATGTGTTCTTAGACTATGTGAAAATGAGTTGTTAGACTACCATATGTGTTCTTCTAGGCTATTCTCTGCATCTGTGTTAAATTTCATTGAGATCCGTTCAGCAGTTTAGGCTACAAATTCTAACATCTAAACTTTCTCATTTATAATATTAGTAGGTTTTTGATCTGTGTAAACTTTAGATCGAACCTAGTTTTTTTTTTAAATGCTTAACCACGATCTGATATCTGATATTTGCGTTGTCAACCTGAATGCAAAAAAAATAGATCATCATCGTCATCCACACGAGTATAGTGGTCGCGCCACACGCATCGCTTCTTAAATCTGCATCTTTACGACCCCATTATTTTTTCAGTGCTGATTATGTTTTAGCCTTGGATATTTAATAATGCATTGTGTGTCTGATACAATTTTCAATAAAAACATTGTTTTTGTGTTAACGTTAGTACAATTAGCACTTGCTTAACTGGTACGAAGTGGCACCACCGGTGATAATATTAGCACGCGAGCAGCTGTAAGCGGTTATCACGACAACGTGACGTGACGCGGTACTGCAGCTGGCGGCGACCGCCGGACCTGGGAATTGTTTTTTGACAATTATCATGTGCAATAATAATCCAAATTATACCGGCCCACGTCACTGCTCAGCGATTTCCACAGCGGCCACGGCGCACTGATTGCTATGTACATATAATAAAATTAAAGTTTGTCTTTTCAAGATCGATTAGATTGATTTTATGTTGTATAAAATGTGTGTAAAAATCGGAAATCGAAAAGATTCATACCCGATTTTACTTAACTCATCCTTACTAAGTGCTAATTACTTAAAACGCGGCTGGAGTTGGCCAGAATGTTATGACGTTATTAGACCACACATCCGCTCAGATGTCACTTCAAACTTGGATGTATACAACGACAAAGTATTTAATTGGCTCTCAGCGCTCAGAATTATCAAAAGTCAAAAAGCGATTAAATTCAGTGGTGTAGAGGGGGGAGGGGAGCAAAGGCGGCGCAGTGCCAATGAGTCGTCTAATGATGCAGCAGGTGAAGCAACTTTGGATAAAGGATCTGTGGCAGACCATTGTACAAGTCTTTCCCGAAAACCCTGTTCATTATAAGTTGGGAGTCGGTGTTAGTCAAGGTAAATTCAGTTCAGCCTAACTTATCACTGTCTACCTCGGCTGATACCGACATCTAAGTAAAAATAATTGTACAATATATACATAACATCTTTTATAAGGGAGGTCTAAGCCATTCCATCAATTATTTCTTTATTATTTAGTGCGTAGTTTTTCTTTAAATATACTGTTAGAGTGTATTTTGTTTGGAAGTCGGTTTTATTTTTTTATGTATGTGGCTTTGTCTGTATGTAAGTAAACTCCATATAGTGGTCTTTAAACTGCGACCCGCGGTACGCGGCTTACGCTTTTTATTTGTGTAAATAGACTTAGAAGTAAGGATGTATGATGCAATATGTTATTTCAAAATAAAATAATAATTTAATATGCTTTTTTTTTTATAACAAAAGGTGGAAAACGAGCAAGCGGCCACCTGAATCCGCCAAAATGGCGAAGCGACCGCTGCCCATAGACATCCGCAATTGCAAATGCGTTGCCTATCCTTATCCGACAGAGGAGGAGATGCACATAAAGAGGATATTTCCCCTTCCTATGTATCTCCTCCTCTGTGAAATCCACTTTCCCTTCCCATCCTTACCTTATAGGAAAAGGGTGATAAAGAGAAAGGGACTTAAATTAGGCCTCCGGCACCACACTCATCAAACGAAACACGGAATTGCTTCCATTTCACGCCTGTCTTCTGTGTGGTCGTGGTATCACACCGGGCGAGCCGGCCCATTCGTGCAAAGATAAAGCGAGCTCTACCACTGTACTGCATTTGTTGCCGACTAACGAGTGGCATTATTTTATTGCAGCGGAGGCTTGCTCTGCCAGAAGCTAGGTGAGTACCTCAAGCGGTCTGTAGCGATTACAACAGCTTACTCGACGTGGCGGAAATTTGCAATTTATGAATGTGCGATGACGTCAATGAACGCTAATCATTAGCATTTGCATAAATAACCGAACAGCGTTACATCACAAGGTCGTCGCGACCACCGATAACTGCGTTTTATCTTTACATTAACCGAGACGTATAATAAACAAACGAGCTTCGTCTTTCCTGTAATACACAACTTACGAAATACACTAACAAAATTTTATAATCGCCCGCCTTAAACAACCACGCCGAGGACATTAGCTATATTATAAACGGACTAGCTGTTGCCCACGACTTCGCCCGTGTAGAGTTTTTAAACTTCAAAACTTACGTTCGCCCCTTTTTTTCAACCTATCACCTAAAGTATAACTTATTATGTAGTAATTGCCGTAATAACAGAAATCTACCGATGCATGATTCCAAACTTCTAAGCCCGGTAGTTTGTGCGCTGATTTTTCGGTTACCCTGATTGTGTTCGCGATATCTTCTAAACTATTATTTCTAATTTTATTCCACATTAAATTCTCCTGACAACAAACGCATTTATTTCTATAATATTGAAAGCAATAGAAGAACGTCGCAAATAGCGTGCGATTTTTTAATTCATTCTGTAAAGAAAAAAGTGGTTATTGTATGATAACCACTAAAGAGAGATATATGCTGTCGCGGACTTTTCTGGATAACTTTTTGAGATCTACAATGATTACATACGAGTACATCATTTTTATATATTTCTAATGGTTTAGGTAGCGTAAGCCTGGAAAAGTTAAAACATTGTGATTTTTAACGCGGTCGCCTAGAAATATGTTGTTTATTAATAGTTCCTTACCATTAGTAATAACAAAATATAGCCTATGTTACACACAGAATAAAATCGAATGGAGAAAGAATTTTCAAAATCGACCCAGTAGTTTTTGAGTTCGATTCCTGCCGCCGAGTTTCGTCATCGGATGACACGACAGACCGCCAGGTACCATTCTCACCATCCCGATGGCTGACAATTCACAACCGTGCGGTTCTCGCGGAACTTTCTGCCTCGCACAGCCGCGTTGTGGAACGTCTGTCCTCGGCGGTATTTCCAAACCAATACGACTTAGGGTCCTTCAAGAAGCGAGCCTATCATTTCATCAAAGGCCGGCAACGCATCTGTGGTTCCTCTGATGTTACCTTTTATTATAAAAAAGTATAGACCATGTAAGCACTATCGCCACAACAGTTCATTCCTGTCCGGCCCTACTATTTTACTATGGTATACTGGTGTTATTCCTGGTTTGCATTTTGCCAGTATTTTGGACAGCGTGCGACAGTGTATGCGCTCACTGATGACAGTTATCGTTCGTACTGTGTTAGGTAATGTACAGTTGTTTTTAGTGCTGCTGTCCAATTGGACTGGCCAGGTGTGAAGCGCGTATTAGCTTATACATATGTCTGCTTTCTTATCTTACTTCTTACTAACAGTATAAACGAGCTGTCGCCTGTAAACTTCGTTAGCGCGAAATTAAAAAAAAAAGTAGTCTAAAACATTGGCGCGTGCATCTACCTTTTACCAGCTACCTTCCAGATAAATTCCCGTCACAATCGGTCCAACCGTTTAGATTAGCCGAATTTACCCGGCTCGCGGAAAGATAGACAGACAAAAAATATTTTTAATGCGATTTTTGTTATCAGCAACGCAGATGATCTTCGCAAAATCTGATATTTTTCATTTTTCATATGTATAGAAGATAGATAACGTTTAGATAGACAGATGATTGCTAGAGTTTGGCGCCTAATCGGCTGTAAAGATATCGATAAAAGACTTGTATGCAAGTTTAATGTGGAAGAACACATATTTTGCTTAATTTTTTTGTAAACTCTACCCGAACAGAATCGCGGGCGAAAGCTAGTAGATTTGATATGTATATATCTATGCCTTTACTATTTTTTATGGGCATGGGCAATGTGTTATGGCTAGTGGCAAACGGGCAAAGGGTAGCGGAGTGAGGAGTGAGGAGTGATGGTGACGAGGACGAGTGACGACACGGCACCGGCACGACTGCGCGGCGTGCACGCGCGCCCGCCATTGGCCCGTCCGGCACGTGGCCTGATCTCGTACCATGGCAACGCACCCCCGCGCCCCGCTTCGCCCTGCCGCTCGATTCTCGCTCTCGCCGCCGTCGCGTGTCGCGCCGCGCCGCGCCGCAGTCAGTCTCGCGCCGGCCGCCTACTGCCCGTGCCGTTTGTTTGACATTGTAGTGATCAAAGCTGACGCCGGTCGATAGTCTGGCGCGCCGCCCCGTGCCCAGTGCGACACATCGGGCTTCCCGGTACAGCTAGCTGTGAGTGCGAGGTGCATCTGATGAGCAGGGCGCGGATCATTTTGTACAGACACGATTTACAAACGACAAGCCGGATTAACAAACACTCTCAATAGTTTCTTCTTAACATTTATGTAAGTACGCAAATATTAATGTAAAGGAGGTGCAATTATCTTATTTACCAAACCATAGTGTGGTTGTTACAATAAGAAAAAAAAATTGGCGACCGGATATTGAGTCAGACTAGTGTTTTGTCTCGGCAGCCTCACGTCAATAAACCTACGGAACATTTCGCTAATATAGTAGCGTTATGGCAAAGATATTTTTTTTCAAGAACTTAACAGAAAATGTTCGTCAGTTAAAACGTAACAAACAAGTTAAGTGGTCATTTTCATTTGTTTGCCCTGTTGAGGGTCCTTTAAAAATGCTAAAGTTAAAAA